TGAGACTCTACTATTGTCTGTTCCAGTAAGAGCAGGTGCCTTCCTGCTCTCAGCCTGGTCCCATGAGTTACTCTGTGGAGATGAAGCCCTGTGAAATAGACTGAGCATTCTGCATAGCAACCAAGTCCTTGCCATCTGCAGTTACCAGGGTTAGGAAACGAAGTTAGTAAGCAGTCATAATACAGATTGTCTTGTTTTGTGCAATAATACCATATAATAGATTTTTTTTTCAAGCTGTCTTAAGAAAACACTGAAATCCTTTCCTTTCCCAGAAGGGGGAACGGGGAACAACTAGTCAATTATCAAGCCTGAAATAGCTACGAAGTCTAGCTGCCCAGTACTAATAACTAATCTGAAACAAGGAAAACAAAGTGTCCAGTGAGGACCTGGGTTAGAATGAAGTCACTTGGGACTTCACAGTCTCCAGCTCGGATGTAAAAGTGATCATGTCTGCCTAGCCAGGTTCACTGTGGTGTTACAGGAATCCATCTGTGTTAAATGCTTGAAATTGCATTTGCCAAAGAGAGATCACCCATTGCTGATCCTTCTAAGTGTGACTATCATCAAAGAACTAGAAAGAAACCTATAAAAAGCCATCATGCACACTGGACCTCAAGCTTCTCTACAGGTATAAATCAAGCAACTGATGCCCAGAAGTTTGCTAATGTGTACAGGGTTAAAGACAATGACCCAGTCCTCCTTTCTTCACAGCACAGTGCGTTTTCCACTCCAACTCTGGCTATAATGAGGTCAACACAGGGGAAGAAGTCCAGGATAAAAACATTTTCACTCTTAATATGATCTGCATATTCTTGACTTTGTTCTTCTTCCAAAACCCATGGCGAGTGCTTTGCTCAACAATTAAATAATGTGGTTTCTATGAAATATAGCAGGTGAGTGGAAAGCCACATTCAGTGAAATAAAATATTCATGATTCTGTTGGCTTGGTGACAATGACATCCTTTATCTTCAAGGTGGTATTTCATACACTATGGTAGTTACATTGATTTTTATTAAGATGGTGATATGATGATGATTACTCGGAGTTATAAATAATGTGATTTGAGAGAGCAAGAGCCTCTGGTGGTGCATAGGTTTGGAGACTTTGGCCCCAGCTGAAGGTGCTATTGTGGAAAGGCTGTGGAACTAGGAGGTGGAGCCCTATGTAAAAAAAAGTGGATCACTAGGGCCAGACTTGAGGTTTGAGATAGCCTGGCCCTATGTCCTGCTCCCTGGCCAGTTCCTGTTGCCATGACCCCTCCAGCAGGATGTGCATAGCCTTAAACTGAAAACCCTAATAAACCACTACCCCCTTCACTATGTGCTGTTAGCAGTGGCAAAGTTAACACACTGAGTAAACAGTTGGCACTCTAAAGCAAAGAAAGAGAAGGAAAGAGTGAAAGAAAGAGGGAAAGAGGAAGTGAGAACCTAAAGAAAGAGTCTAAGGAGGCTACAGGCAGCAGAGGACAGGTGGAGAGTCTGTGGAGGGTCAGAGACTCTGGTCACAGAGGTCAAGGTCACAGAGCTATTGGCACATGATTTCACTATCACATTTTAGTATGGAACAGCCAGAGACCATTAGCAAGGCTTACTGACACTGGCTGCTACACATTCATGTGAGGCCATGCACTTAGGTTTGGAATTTGGGAGAACATATCAGAGATGTTGCAAATAAAATCAATTACATTTCCCTTTGAAAAATCTTACTTGTAATAAAAGAGAATGTATTAACATCATAACTCATAGGTTATTTTGCTCATTTCTTAAACCACCCTGTGATTATAATATATATATATATATATGCATATATAAACGTGTGTTTATATTTATATTGATATATGCATATATGAATATACATATAAGCATATATGTATGTGAATTTATATAAATATATATTAATTTATGTATGTGGAAACTGAATGCAGGTTTACTAACTGCTTCTGCAAGTGTTCTTGGTTGCAAACTATAGGATTTGCTCATGGCAGTTATCGGGGCCAAACATAATGCACAGTATTAGGTAACTTTACAGAATTGTTAAAAATGACTATGAAAAATAGGTTCAAATGTAAGAAAATCTTTTAACATCGCACAGCATAGCACACCACTGTGACTAGAAAGCTGTCTTTCTTACACCCAGCCCAGACCCCCATTGCCTCCACAGTCCTGCAGGGATACCAAGAGGACAGCTGTGTGCCCTGGCTCTTTCCTCACAGAATTAATGTTCCAAAATTGTTTCCTTAGGGTTGAATCTGCCTGTCAGAGCCTAAGTCACCTTAGCAACTGGCAAGTGTCTATTTCACATTGGAATGGCAAGGATCGCACAATGAGGGAGTCTTAACATGTAAAAGGTTTGAAAATAATGGGAAAACCGTAAGTGACAGATGCCACAATTCTAACTTACCTGCCATCGTAATGACCAGACCCAGGATTCTGGTCAAACGGAGGATGAGCTGAGCTCTCAAGGGTCTGATGCTGCTGGTTCTTGCAGGAGGCTATCAACTGGTCTTGCCCTGAATTGAGATGTTGGCTTCCCATGCTACATTGTTTCTTTCCCTCTTAATTTTTGTAATGCTAGGTGTACAACACCAGCTCCTCTCTCAGTCACCCTGGAAGCTTATGTTAAATTGTATGCATACTTTTATCACCTCTCTCCTGAAGTATGATCATCCTTTAAACTCATGTCCTCATGTAAAAGCTGTGTTTCTTTCTTTGTTTCTAAAATACTATCGTTTATTTGTCTCATCTCCTTTCTGGGTTATTTTCTGTTCTCACTCTTGCTCTCTTTCTGTAATGTAGACTGTGATGTTCAAGGACATGAGTATTTAAAATGATAATTCCCCAAAACAAACACAGTGTTTGGTGCACAATCTCCAATAAATAGTATTTAAGGATCTATGTAGGACTTCAATATTGCATCTAAATATGATTTCAAAATATCATGTGGTTCAATGTACTCATTCTGCGGATAAATAAAGTGGTGACAGAGGAGGCGCTTACCCAGGTCACACAAAGTCTAGAGATGAAACCGCAGAGGTCAGGAGGAAAGTCCACAGGGCCTACAGAGCTTGGAGCCCTTTGTTATTTCTCTGTATTTTACTGTGTTGTGGGGGGCTATTTTCAAGCAAGTATTATGGATGTGCTTTGAAGTCTGTGCCCCCACTGCTGCCCTCCTCTGTCTTCACCCTCCTCCCCTGTCTTGACTCCACCCCCCTTAGTCCCTACTGCTGTCACAGCCTCATTTCTGAATTCATCTCGTCTGTACACCAAGAGTGTATACATCTGTATGAAGTCTAAGAACCAGAAATGACTTAATTTGTTTAATGTGACAATCCCCAGTTACATTCATTTCCCTTCAAATAACAAAACTTTATTGTTGCACAAAACGTAAATGGTCTTTTAATAAAAACCTGGAGCCAGATATTGGAGTAAACGCTGAAGGGTCAGAGGAAACAAGCCACAGACACTTCTCACCTTGCCAGCTCCTCAGCTGAAAGGGGAAGGTCCTGTCTCTATGAATCCTCAGACTTTGGAGACCTCAGCCAAAAGGGCCTAATTTCTGTCTCCTCCCACCTTATATTCCTTTTTCTGGCTGGCCATATCACTTCTTGTCTCAACCTTCCTAGTGCTGGGATTAAAGGTGTGTGACTCCCAAGTACTGAGATTAAAGGTGTGTGATCCCAAGTGCTGAGATTAAAGGTGTGTGCCACCACTGACTGGTTGTTTCTCTTTTAATCTGGTTTAATCACATGTAGTCCAGGGTGGCTTTGAACTCACAGAGATTCAGACGGATCTCTGCCTCCCAAGTGTTAGGGTTAAAGGTGTGTGCCACCACTGCCTAACCTCTGTGACTAACTCTGTGACTGGCTCTGTCCTCTGATCTTCAGGCAAGTTTTATTAGAGTACAACAAAATGTCACCACACTTTATTCTTCTTTATGGCTGAAAAACCGCCACTATAGTATAAACCACATTTTGTTCACCTATTCCTCTGTTGGTGGATATAGAGTCAGGTTCTGAGGTTTAGCTATTGTGAAACATGTTGCAGAAAACACCGGTGTGCAAGAATTGCCCTGGTATGTCACTGTGAGTCTTCTGGGTAGATAGTTGGTGTATGTACTGACTCTGGTAGTGGCTAGACTAGCGTACATTCCCATCTCCTTGACAAAGATAGGATACTAAATGACACCTGTACAGGTATATGGACTCCAGCCCATGATAATTGCAAAGTAATATAGAAAAAATGATGGTGCCTTCCATTGCTCAGGGCTGAATTAGCTGTTCCAAAGAGGTAAGAAGGAGGCAAGCAAGTACTGTTATGTCCATGATGTTATTACTGATAGTAAACTTCTAGAAAATCTTCACTGCATTGGCTATATTCTGGAAATAAATTCCTCAAATACACACAACTGTACCAGGACATGGAGCTTAATATCATCACATATATTAACAATTAAAATTAATTTTAATGTAAGCCTATGAAGATATGTATTGGGACCGGGGAAATGGCTCACTGGATAAAGGCACTTGTTGAGTAATCATGAAGACCTTAGTTCATATCTAAGCACATCCCCCAAAAGAACCAGCTAGTCATGGGTACACATGGGCCTGTACCCCAATTGCAGTGGACATTAGAGACAAGAGGGTCTGGGATTTGCTGGCTACTAACCTAGCTAGATTCAGTGAGAGACCCTGTTTCAAGGGAATAAGAAAAAAGATGGTTGGGACTCCATGTACATACAGATATCCATATTGCCCACAGAGACAGTTACTGAAGTTTTTTCTCATGAACACTTAGAACAGAAAAACTAGTTGGTTGATTTGGTTTTTGGAAGGTTGGTTCATCATTCAGTGATTTGCTGTGGGATGGTATGTATGTCAAATCTGTTGCTCTGATTGGTCAATAAATAAAACACTGATTGGCCAGTGGCTAGGCAGGAGGAAGTATAGGCGGGACAAGGAGGAGAAGAATACTGGGAAGTGGAAGGCTGAGTCAGAGAAACTGCCAGCTGCCACCATGACAAGACGCATGTGAAGACACCGGTAAGCCACAAGCCACATGGCAAGGTATAGATTTATAGAAATGGATTAATTTAAGCTATAAGAACAGTTAGCAAGAAGCCTGCCACAGCCATACAGTTTGTAAGTAATATAAGGCTCTGTGTTTACTTGGTTGGGTCTGAGCGGCTGTGGGACTGGCGGGTGACAAAGATTTGTCCTGACCGTGGGCAAGGCAGGAAAACTCTAGCTACAGTGATTCCAAAGCATCTCTTCTGGGTTACACTGTCATTACTATGACTGAGGTCAACCTATATTTCTTCTCTGTGTTGCTGTGTGTTTCAAGGGTGATGAGTATTAGAGGTTTGGCCTGGGTTTGTTGGCTCATCTGGGAGTTAAAAAACAGCTAATTTATATCCTGGTCAAGACCTTTAATAATAGTGAGGGGTAAGTATCTGAAAAAAGTAAAGAAAAATTATGCAAAGTATGAGTCCCAAATAAGGAGGATGGTCAATAAACCTTTTGTGTGGTCTGAATGTGTATCTCCCCCAACCCTGCATGTTGAAACCCAGTAATTGCCAATGCAGTAATTGACATTAGGTGATGAAACCTTGTCTGTTATTCTCTGAGAAGCCTCTACCCATGCTCTTGGATGTAACTTTATTATCTTCCTGAACACTGGTATCTCTTTTAATCCTCACTCTGAACATCTGTACTAAAATATCTCTGAATAATCTCCCTGGGAATGAATAGAGCCTTTGGGGTTTAGGTAAGTCATGGAGACTACATCCTCATGATGTATAGGATTGATACCCTAACAAAGGGTTTTGAAGGGTGTTTTTTTCTTCCTTTTACCATGTAAGGATGCAGTGAGAAGGTGACATCTTTGAAGAAGAAAGCATGCCCCTAGCAAACACTAAATCTATGTCTCAGTCTTAGATTCCCAATGTGATTACTGACTTCTGTTGTTTATAAGTTACCCATTTGCTGTCGGATGTCTTTCTGTATGCTGGGGGCTGAATGAGTGAGCCTTGAGGTGATGTCTCTCCTTGGCCTTTGGGGCACCTTTTCTGGTGCCCAATAGAATAGGAATGAGCTACACTCGAACAAGTTACAGAATCTCCATCAATAGGATGCCATTGCTTTAGTACATAGAAGGCTGAGGTATTGTTACTGGCTCATGGACTCTAGATGGCTATCAGGGGTGTTCTGTAACCTATGAAAACATGGACAGTATGAGCAGCAGAGAAACTGGAAATGCTAGGAACAAATCATTGGTAGACACTAGGCAATTCCCCAGTGAGCTTCCTGTGAGGGCTTAGGAGAAGGTGGAACATTAAAATGACAAAATGAAGAGAATGTTATTGGGAACTAGAGAAAAGGGGACCCTTGTTAGCAGTGTCTGAGGCTCAGCTCATCCATTTGTTAAAGGGGGACAGCAATGATACCCATCATTGATAAACTCATTTTGACAATATGAAGAGGCACTTAAAATATGTCTAAATAATTTGAGCCCTATCCTAATAAGAAAATGTTGTAACCAGTGTATCAGTATTCACAGGAAATCAATGGCTTGTGAGTTCTAAAGAACTGTGGAGTTTAATGACAGAACTATTGAGAAAATGAAATCACCCAATGTGTATAAACAGGCAGAGCATAATGCCTGATGCATAGTCAAGTTTTCATTAATGTTAATTACTGACATCACTGTGTTTTGTATGTGGCAAATACTGATATTTGCTCACCTGTCTCATCTATCTTCATTGTTTTCCCATTTCATAATAACAGAACCCCAATATTTGTATGTGCAGACAATGTGCCAGATAAAAAGAGCATTTGGCAGTCATACTTACTCTGTATGGCAATGATAGTCAATTCTCCCCAGTGCACACAACTCTGAGGATTTTGGGGAAAGTAAGATAATCTCCTATTTTGATTAAGAGGGCAATATATCCAGGCTACACAGCATGTCATCAGTCTCACTTGTAGCTGAGGGTAGGCAGGAAATACAGTTCTGCCAATTAGAACAAAACTTTTTTCTCCTGGGTATTTAAGAAAAAATTGGCTTCCCTGCTCTGGCACCCTTCTTCCTCATAATATTTAATTTAATTCTATTCACAATGTGTCAGAGTCTGGCTTAGTCTAACAGTGGGTGCTGGGGACGAAAACTGGCATGCAGTGAGATCATTTTGTGATCTCGTGTCAGCAAAGCTTACAGACTCAAGAGAAGGGAGCTAGACTGAAGGCTGAAGAAAGAGAAGTTGTTGAGCAACAACAGCAGAACTAGTAAAAGCTGCATGGAGGGCCACAGATAGCGTGGCCCTCCGCATGGCTGCACGTGGCATGGTCCTCAAATTGTCCATGTTTCATAAACATCAGCCAGTTATGGGGTGATGATCACTTCAGGAAACAGGTGTGACTTGGAGGTAAGGCCCTTCCTATGTCTTGTAGCCCTCCATTCCTAAAAGGAGAGGTAAGTTGACACTCACGACATCCGCAACAATTGAAATAGGAGACTGAGGACACAGTAGCCATCTTGAATGATGAGGCAAACAGAAAAGGGCAAAACTATTATTTTAAGTTGTGTGAGCAAATGAAAAAGACAAAAGGTACAAATGCTACCAAATCCTTTCACCAAACCAGGAATGTTTTTCTTGGTTTATTATTATGTCATACTCAGAGCTTACAATCTGATTTAACCACTGTGTATATAAAGCTGGCACTATCATGTTACTGGTATTTGCCAAGAAGATATGTGTGGTATCCATGTAAAATTATTAATCTATTTATAATCAATATAACTTAATATCTAAGATTAATCCTATGTCTTTTTGATTGAAGGCAACAATTGTTGGGTACATTGACGGTGTTTGTGATTGCTCAGTTCTACTCATGGAATACCGCATTTACCTCAAAGACAGTGTGCATTGCCCTCCGTACATATCTTCAGGCCTAGGTCTCCTGTTCCTTGATTGCTTCATGTGAACCAACAGACCTTTCTCTAGTCCTCCCATCAAATCATTTGAGAATAATTTGTAGAACACAGGTTACATTCATAGACCCCTCGTGTATACAGAGCAGTGTGAGGTATATGAATAGTGATTGATCAATACCTGTAGAAATGAATTAGAGCCCTGAAAATGATTTTAAATATATAGTAGGCCTCCAATAATATTATACACTAATATCTGATATTCTGTCACTAATAAAAACAGAATAAAGGGACATAAAATAAGATTGCTTCATCCCTTGCAGGGCAGCTTCATTTAATAAGGACAAGATGTCTTTGAGTACACCGTTCTCCCCTTTTGTGGTGCACAGCATTCAGCCTGAATATTGTTCTTGGTTTAATGCCCTTAGAGATCAAATAGGAATCAAAAGCAATGACCTGACGTGCTCTGTAAATGATAAACACAGTATTTGCCTTGGTATTGAATAATGAACAGCAACAAGGCGTGGTAGGAGAGCTCTCACCTCCTGCATATGTATGGAGGGCAGCTGCCCTGTGAGGGCCCAAGGACAAAGTGCCACAAAGACCTTCAGACAGTGTGAGGCCTAACTCTCTCACCTGATACTTTCAAAGAACATCTTAGAACTCACCAGATGATTCCAGGCACCAAAGTAAAGTAATGCTGGTAAGCATGGCACACCATGAGGGGAAAGGCACACGCCCCAGCACAGGAGGGACAGCCTGAGGCTGAGGAGCAGCTAACTTGAGATTATGGTAGTGTCTGCTGCTGCTGCTGCCACCGCACACTGCCGCCATACACTGCTGCTCTTCACCCAAGCTCAGTTGCCCATCTCACTTGCCAATTATTTTAGTCTGGCAACAGTCAAAATGCAGGACAAAGCAACACTAGGAGTTTGGTTTTATTCTTAAGAAAATGCAATCCATGAAAGAAGAAGAACAGGATAATAGCGAAAATGGAAAGTCAAATTGGCAAGTATGTTCTTTTTAAATTTTTTTATGACTTTTATTTTATGCATATGTATGTGTGTGCATAGATTATGGGTATGGTGGTCCATGGAGGCCAGAAGAAGACATTTATCCCTGAAACTACATGTGGTAGTGAGCCACTGCCAGTCAGTAGGTTCTGGAACCTCAACTCTAGTCCTCTTAAGCTGAGTCATCTCTCCAGCCTCAGGAGTGTTAGGAGTAAAAGATGTCCAATGTAGAAATGAAGCTGAATGGGTCAGATGCGGAAGTGAAGGTACACTGTAGATTGATTTTAGAATGTCTTCCCTTGGTTTTAAATCCTTTAGAGTCATAACTAGAATATTTAGTAAGTTGCTTAGGAAATATCTCTAAGGAATTTAAGTCCTGGAACCAAAGGAGCTAGTCAAGGATCCTGAAGAAAAGCAACAGTTCAGGAAGGTGTTGGTCTCCTGGGTTTGAACTCAGATAGTAGATTAAAAGAAAAGATCACACAAGCATCAGTAGCTAGTCAAAGCATTGTATAAAGACACCAGACTTGAGGAGGAATGCTGGATTGCTTCTGTCGATATAACCATAGTCAAAAGCATAACCCTAATTCACTTATTGACTCCAAAGTGATTAAGAACAACAGCTACCAGCTTAGGCCATCACAATAAAATATCCCTTCTGAATGCATGAATACATTCTTTGACCTCTACACAGTATGCATTTACTAATTCAAGCTAGCCCTCTTCAGAGAACTGAGAGAAAAGACCAAGAAAAATGAGTATAAAATCCTACTCACAAACAAGAAAATGATATAATTAGAAAATGGACATTAGATTGGAGCAGAGACAGATGACAAAACCAGTCAAGGCCAAGGCAGTACACAACGATGGTTCTCTGCAGCGCTACCTACTGAGCAGACAGAAACTCACAAGAGGATAGAGACTTCCTGGCACCCAGGAACACAGCTAATACTACAAAACGATAATACAACAGAGTCATAGTGTGGATATGCAAATTTTAAATTATTTCAGACTCGGTGTCTCCTTCCCTTTGCATTTTCTCATTTTAGATATTCTGTTTAAAAAAATGACAAGAACTTGGCAGATAGCATAATAGAGGTTATTACAGAAACCTACAACTGGTCAGATGCCCAGAATAACTGACCTTGACTTGAACAATCCCAACTGATATATCTATAAGGCTGCCTTCATTTTCACAGGACATCCTCCCCAGGTCTTCTCGAATCTTCTCTTTCTGTCCAAATATCCCTGTTTATAAAGAGTCTTAGTCTTTTGACTAAGGTTCATTCTGGTAACCTCCTGCAAAGTTTGTTACAACCCCCCCCCAACCCCACCCCTGCCCCGTCCCAATATCACATCCTCAAGTTCTTTGAAAGTTCAGACTTCAGTGTATCCGTTTGGAAGGATATCATTCATCCAACAACAAATGGAGAAAACCTGTGGACTAAGTTAGAATAGGTAGCCATTTTCTCTTTCTTTTCTCCAGAATGTCACACAGAGAAGCTATCACACTTGGTGACATTTTGTGTGGAGATGCAAACAAACATTACTCCCCTGACTCAAAGTGCCAGAATAGAGTAAGGACGCCACCCAAGTCCAAAGTGGTAAACCTGTGAGTATATTAGGGCTTCTTACAGGAGCATGGGTGACTCAAAGTGAGCTGTGACACCAAAACGCTCACCCCACGTTGGGTGACAGCTCAGAAAAGCTGCATCTCTTGAGTTTCCTGCGTGAATTGCAGGCTGCTCAGGTGGTGGGGTCCCTTCTCCCAGCCCCAGTCACTCCCTGTTGAATTGTGGGGAATGGCCTTGTAAAGCCTGTGCTTCTGCTGCCTGAGGCTTGTCTGCTTGGTTTACTCCCTGGGTCTTATGATCCTTTCTCTTCCTTCCAGGAGAGATGTCTCAATTCAGAGGAAATCACTACACATAAATGCTTACTGGGGAGTAAAGCAAGGGAGGAGGAGACTGCTTCCTCTACTCTTCTGGACACCTCTGGCTTTCCCTTTGGCCATGAACATGAACATGTTTTTTATAATGATTAAAAACATGAACATTTTCTGGTTGGTGTTTCTGTAGTAAAGACCTCAGTTTTGTACTAGAAAAACCACTTCTTTGATTATGAATCTGCTTTGACCATGAAGAATCTTCTTTATTAATGCAATAACTCATCTCAGCATTAATTTTAAATTTGATTTTGCACTTGGCTTGACATTAGCCTCATGTCTTTCAACAGTTACCCAAAAAGTATTCAGGACAATATTAATAGAATTTTTATTTCAACTAAGGAGCAGACCATTAACTTTTTAATAAAATTTCCCCTTGTTTTCAACTAAGTATGTGGTGGCAAAAGGTAATGTGACTTTTGGCAATGTAAACATAAGGCAAATTTACTTGTCTTGGATCCTGGCAAAGCTTTGGTTAGGATCAGTAGTGTGAGGGCACCTTACCCCCTGACTAATTTGGGCAATTTCCAGACTCCAATCAGGCAGGTCTGAAACCTGAGCTCGGGATCATCATCACACAGGAAGCACTGCAGGCCTCCAGAACAATTGATAACTAATGTCCATAATTAACTTTTCACAGGGAACTCCCTGCTCACAGCATAGTCACCCTGAGATTTACAAGACTCAGGGGTGAAAGGCTCTTTCAACAGAGGTTTCTTTCCCACTCTATAAACCGCAGTCAGAGACTCCCTTAGTCAACACAAATAAATAAGAGAAACTTGAGATAAATTCAGAACTGCAAATGAGCATCCTCAGACAATTGTGTCCTCAATTTCCCTGACTCTAGGAAATTTTGATCCTTGTTCTGTATAATGGATAGATTCAGCAGGAAGGGTTTAAATATACTTTCTTTTGGACAGTGTGCACAAAACCACAAACTAAGTCAGAAATGTTTGGTAGGAAATACACTTTACATAACAATATATACTAATGAGAAATTTTCCTCATGATAAACTCCAGGAGTAACTATTTTCACTCCTTGAATTTATGAAAGGGCTTCTATTGTTTGGGTGCTATATAATCAACATTATAGTTAGAACTTTTTCAAAGGGTCCAAACTGCAATGTAGGCCTCTCCTTCTCCACGGGTCTAAACAGAAAAGCAGATGTATTTTTGTACATGCCACATATGTAAATCAATACAACTTCTTGGAGAATAGAGTTGAAGATTCAATTTGAAATAGCACAAAGATATAAATTTTCTCTAGGAATAGCTGTAACCAGTAATTACCTGATTGCTCTGAAGAAATCATAAAACTTTACTGATGGACATAAAAGAAAACTTAAATAAATGAAGAAATATATCATCGCCCTGGATATGTTAGGGAAAATGAATATTCTTTCTAAATCAGTGTATGGTCTTATGTGATACAGTTAAAATGTAGTAAAATATTCTTATACCTTAGCAAAGTAATTTATGAATTTATCAGCACAAATGTGCTAGAGTAGTCAAGGAAAATTATACCGATATTGATACTACCATCAGAGAATTCTTTCATAATGACAAAACAAGAAAGGAGTAAGGTCAATAGTCTGGTGGAAGAAGCCATGGGCAGACAATTGAGCTGAAGCTGGAGTGGACACAGCATCTAAGAAATAACAAGTGTGGTATCGTTGATATAATAATAATAACAATAATAATAATAATAATAAATGCTTATTTCAGGCATTTCAAATAAGTTAAATTCATTTTGTAAGAAAGGTTCAAATAAGACTGGAGAAATGGTTCAGTAGTTAAGGGCTTGCTGCTCTTGCAGAGGACCTGAGTTCAGTTTCTGGCACCCACATCCACCATCTATGCCAGGGAGCTTACAACTGCCTGTAACGCCATTTAGAGGGCATCCAACATCCTCTCCGGCCTTCTCAGGCACTGTACTCATATGCTCAAGCACCTTCTCTCTATCTCTCTCTCTGTCTCTCTGTCTTTCCCTCTTTCCCTCCTTCCCTCCCTCCCTCTCCCCCTCTCTTTCACACACATATTCATCATTAAAAATAAAGTCTAAAAAAAAGAAAAGAGGTTCAAACAGTTTCATGCTAATTTCTATCCAAAAATGATAAAATAGATATGATTTAAATGGATACTGTAAACACCAAAATAAATGTAGCCAATATTTTAGAAGAAATAAAGATGCAATATTATGATTTTCATAAATGCAAAAATAATCCACTAGAGAAAGTCTATACAATTTCTTACATCCCAAATCTAATATTTTCTAATAAAAAAAAACACCATGTAAAATCTGGAGGCCACATGCAACGTTCTGGCTTCCGATGGTTGCTACCGTATGTCATCACTATTCCTCGAAATTCCTCCTTTGAAGACTTTAGAAGCCCAAGAAAACAGAATGCCCTAACCTGAGACTGACAGTGAATACATTACCAGAATTGTGAAGGGCTTTCTGCTGGTTTATTTAACTTACACAGCCACATGGGTGGCAGCTGACCACCCGAAACAAGCTTGTTCTTCACAAAAGAACAGACTTGGTAGCCTAAATGGAGGCAGGCTTCCGCTTGGCATCCATGTGTACCTGTCAACTACTCAGAAACCTTCAACTGACAACAAGCAGGACCCCAGGACCCCAGGCATCACTCTGCACTGGCTCTATCTGCCGTCACTGTCTCCTGTCTCTCAGAGAACTATGGGAGATTCAAGCTCCAGAGCAAAGCCGAGTGGGTGCTATTGTTTAATTGTAAGGAGGTCTCCACTAACCTATGGTAGTGACCATCACAAAGAAGCATCTTTTAAAATGTCTCTATATATCACAGAAACTGAACATTCATGATGTGCTACAGTAAACCAACTTGACAAAGGATTTTATCTTATGAGGTATGACAAAAATGTCCACAAATAATTATAATAGAAAAGTAGCATAGTGCAGTCTAGCATTTAATTTTGAGATAAAATTATGTACTGATTTTAGTTTTCATGTTATCCCTGGCATTTACAGCAAGAACTTCTCATGGGATCATCTTAAAATTGAATTTTAATATTTGAGGTAATTATCAATGTGCATGCACTGGGTGATACTGTAGACATTGTTTCAAGCCCTGACTCTGCTTTTGTTAAGAAATACATTGAAAGAGAGAGTTTGAACTAGGACACTTGCTAGATAAAAATCTGTTGATCTATTTAGACACCTTTGATCTGACTTGAATTCCTCTTAGCTAATTATGGGGCTCATTCTGTGAATCCTCACAAAAGGATAAGAGTTCAGCACCATGATGAAGACAGGCCATTCCCTTGACAGTGAGAAGTTTCGTGTTAAGCTCACACACACACACACACACACACACACACACACACACACACACACACCTGCACCCCTCCTCACACTCAATTGCTGTGGCCTTGGCAGCCACTAATATCTTCTATTTCTGATTTTTCCTTTGTTTTTATTTTTGTGAGGATGTTAAGAAATGGGTTTTAATGTGATATTTCCATATATATGTATGTACATATATATAATTGTATGTCCGTGTTGCTCACTCCTTCACTGGCCTTCCCCAAATGCCCTCGCCTCCTTTTTCTGGTCCCCTTCCCCCCCACAAAGAGTTCCTGCATTTGCCTTCCTGACACACTGTTCCACCCCTCTCTCTCGTGTCCCTCCTCTTTCTTCAGAACACTTCCTTCCCCCTCATTGTCCCCTTTTTACTTACCCATCCATTACATAAATAAGTGTAAGCTCTGCACAGGAAAGCATGCCTTTTGCCTTTCTCTGCTTGCTTTATTTCATTTAACACCATGATTCATTGTCCTGCAAATGTTTCATTAGCATTCACAGCTGAATAAAATTCCATTGTGCATGTACTCACTCCATTTTCTTTATATTTTCATCTGTTGACAGACAGTTATCTGGTTCCATGTCTTGGTTAATGGAGATAGGGCAGTAGTAATTACAGATGTGCAGGTTTCTCTGTGGCGTGTTGACTCAAAGTCCTTAGGATGTATACCCAGGGGTATCACAAGGTGCGAGATCTAGTTCTTTGCTTGTTTGTTTGCTTATTGTTTTCATTTTTGTTTTTGAGGAACCTCCACACTAATGTCCATTGTGGCTTCACCAAATTACATTCCCACCAGCAGCATATAAGGGTTCCTCCTTCTACATCCCTACCAGAACTGGTGGTATTTGTGGTCTTCATGAAAGTCATTCTGACTATAGGGAGATAGGATCTCAAAGCCATTCATTAGCTTACTGATCAACTGGATGACATGAGGGTAGGGAGTTTAAGTTTTTAAATTCTTCACAGCGAGACTCTATTTTTTTTATCATTTCAAATAAGCAGAATCACACAGTTATGCAAAATAATTTCAAATAAGCAGAACTACAGTTATGCATGCGACTCACTTCTTTTACCACAGTCTTATTCTATGACACGGATTCCCTGTTCCCTGAAGAACTCTTGGGCTGGTTCTAGGTGCAGATGAACATGTTATCCCACTTTTCACACTGCATTTGGAGATAAATTTCTGTGGTGCAATTGATTCATATGGTGGCAGCATACCTGTTCCATGGGAAACTTTCGACAGATTGATAGCTGAGTTTTCCTGAATCGCCCTCTCCACCCTTCCATTTACGAATGCTTACATTTGCCTTTCTGTCATGCTAGTTA